CTTTAACTATTTTCTACATTTCACAATTCTTTATCCATTGGGACTGGCCATAAGGATAATGTTAAACACACTCTATCTGCTCTTATGCTGTTGAAGTGGCTCTTCAGATAGGGTTGCATAAGTCTGGGCAATCTCTGATTGGCAGAAAAAACTCTGTATTTCTTTGCTCTCCTATCACAAGATATGACAGTGGGCAATTTCATTTTATAGGCGATCTCCACTTACAACAGTTCATTTATTGATAAAATAAACACGAAGCCACTACCTTATTAAGATGTGAAAAGATGTGAAATCTCAATACCCCATTCAGATGTATAATAACATATTACAGTACAATCCATCTCTTGTGTATTATACTCGGCTAAACATTACAGTCAGTGTTGGATATTTTGTGTATATTTTTTGTATATTCGTAGATATTGTACTCTCAAATTGCAAATGGAGACGTGGGTACTCTATTTTTCTTATCTTCATTTTTAAGTGCTTTGGTTTTATTGTATTGAGAACAGTTGCTGGGGTGCATCCACAGTTTCATTGTACTTGTATAATGACAATAAAGTTCTTCTAATTCTAATTCAAAGTTACAACAGCTTTGAAAAAAGTGACTTATCACTGTTTTTCACACAGCATCCATGGTCACATGATCAAAATTCAGATACTTGGCAACTGACTCATATTTATGACGATTGCTGATCATGTGGTCACCTTTTGCGACCTTCTGACGAGAAAACTCAATGGTCAAGCCCGATTCACTTTACAACTTAACAACTGCAGCGATTCACTTAACAACAGTGACAAGAAAAGTCATAAAATGGGGCAAAACTCACTTAACAAATGTCTCACTTAGTGACAGAAAATTTGGGCTCAATTGTGGTCGTAAGTCAAGAACTACCTGTATTGCAGGGAAATCACTAGTGGCCTCTATTAAGGAAATACAGCTGCATCAGCCTTTTAGTAGCACACCTGAGGCCACATTGCAAATGGCAGCAGCATCAGATAAAAGTGACAGGGATCAGAAAGCATATAGTAACTGAATGAAATTAATATGATTGTTTTTGATAATTTAACAGGGAAACACACATGCTTACAAGGATTCCCTCCATTTCCACTGTAATGATTGTCAGATTATAATAAATTAGAAAGTATGTGTGGGCAAAATAATTTAGAAAACCAGAGTGAATTCAAATGTGTACAATACCCATATAACAAAATAACAGAGTTGGAACGAACCTTGGAAGTCTTCTTGTCCAATATGCACAAAGGCTGAATTTGTATAACATGGTTACTATATTAATCCATTTTCTGGATTCAGGTAATAGATTAAAGCATAAACTAATTTGACGTTGGCTTTTACAAAACCCTCCAAAACATAAACCAACTCCAACCAGGATTGGAAATACACCAAAGCTAGCAAATGCAAATATAAGCATTAGAATTTTATATAACTTGATCATTTTCCATGCAAATATGCAAGCCATATTTTTAGTTCCACCTTAGGCACAAAAACTATCTGGGTGACTTTGGCTCACTCATTCTCTCTCAGCCCTGGGAAGATGGCAATGGCAAACCACTTGTGAAATCTTGCCAAGAAAACTGCACGTGTGTGCACACACACACACACGAGAAAAAAACTGCAACTAATAAATATCAATTTTATAACATGTATCCAGTACTGTGTGATATCTGTACATATAAGTAGAAACTGCCACATGCATCCAAGAATTGGGGTTGTTCTTATGTTGATGTCAGATGCCAGACTTATTAGGGCTTTAGGACTGAGGATCTGATAGCTGCACAACTATGAATCTCCAAAATGCATGCAAAAATAATGTGAAGTGTAGACATAATGTGAAATGTGTATACCTTTCTAGATGTATACACAAAAGGCAATTACCAACATTAATTCCACTCATGACTCATCCAACAATTTAAACTGGGTATCAGAAACTCTCCAGATGTTGGAATCAAACTTCCGGATTCCTCATCATCAGCCTTAAGCTAGTGAAAGTTAATGTTCAACAATATGCCGAAATACCTCTGTTGCCCATAATTACATTTCAGACAGAAAAAATGAAGAACACTCCACATAGCACGAGCCAGGAGAGGTTCTTAAAATCATTGTTTTTAATGTCCTTTTGAAAATTATAATAAAATGTTATGTGGTGAGCAGCTTTGACAATCCCTAATAGAACAGCATGAAAGAAATGTTCTAACAAATAAACAAAAATAGGCCCCAAATGGCTGTACAGATAATGGTGGATAATTAGAGGAGCAACAAACGGCACTCTCTCTTTCTTCCTATTTTTATTAACAATTATACTCAAGGGGCAGTTATTTAGGAATGTATAAGATGGTTTGTAAAGATATGCATAATTACAGATCCAGGTACGTAGTTTCAAATAAAACATTGGTTATTTAAATGTACCCCTGTAAGCTAAACTGTGCAACTGTGCTTATGTACTGATAAAGCAGGGAAGAAAACCCTAATTTACCTTTCAGTTAGTAAACAGAAAGTCATGTCACAATGGTAGATATTGGGAGCCTCAAAACCTCCTGCTAGAAAAGCATTCTAATAATAGAAAATCAAAGGACAAAAAAATACGGTGCCCACCCTTCCGCAACATGAATATCTGACTGAATTTGGGGGCACGCATGATTTTTTTTTAAAAAAAAAAGTTTCAAAACAAATAAGAAAGGTATTGGCAATTTTTTCAGAATCAGATAAGATGAATGAGTCAATAAATAATATAAGGAAAGTGACAAGTCTTTGACATTGTTAGCTGTGGAACAATGAATAGAAGCTGGATTTAACTAGAAATCTAAACTGCACAATATGTTATTTGGAAAATCTAAATATATGAGATGCATCACATTTCCCAAACAATTTTGCATGACAGGTATTGATCAAGCAATAATTTCACAAAGCTTTCTCCAAACCTAGCAACCCAGAGACACCAACTCTTGCAAAATTGACTCTAATTCTGATTCTTGCTTCACAAAGTTCTTTTGATTGAAGTTTTGGGAATTATGTTCCCAACACATCCTGGGAGTGCCTGGCTGGAGAAGGACGACCTTAAATCTAGCTGACCTTGGCAGATTTGCTGAAGTTAAAGTTTCACATTGATAAACTATTTCTGAGTGTTTTCTGCCCAGTGTACCTAGCACCAAACAAAGTTGTCTTTATGACTGTGTCTCATATCAGCTATCTATTAATGAAACTGCCAGGTTTTCTATTAATGTCCTTCATGGTCACTCTTTTCCTTTTTTTGTTTGTTAAAAAGATCATGAATACAGGTTGGCAGAAAGCAACAGAGAAGGAGCTGTTGCCTTCAGGAGGCCTTATGTCTCATTTTAGAAAAGAAGAAAAATGTATCTTCCACCAGTTGAATCAGAATTGGATGTAAAATATGCAAGCAAGAGCTGCCATGTTTCCCATTTCAAGAGCGGATTGAGAACATTTGTTTATTTGTATTCCGCCTTTATTATTTTTACAAATAACTCAAGGCAGTTATGCATTGACCTATCTAATATACTTTCCTCTTCCTATTTTCCCCACCACAACAATCCATTTGGTTGATCTCTTCCATTTGGTGACTGGATGAAGTAGCCACTGATTATGGATTTGAACCCTAGTATCTTCACATTCCTGGTCAGCTTCTGTAACTTGAATGTAATAAGTAATTAACCTCCATACATTCTTCCCACCCACCCAGACTTGATATCAGTTGAGGAAGCCTGGACAAGCACTCAAAAAGAAATTGCTATTATGTAGGTGCAGGATGCTGAATGAATGAAAACCAGAAGCATAGGCCCTTTCCAGTGAGTCTTTCTCACATTCATATTGCATCCACCCTGCTCAAATATAGTAACTGAAAAAGAGAAAGGATAATTCAAACATTTCAGAAGGAACAAACAGGTGGGAGGGAGGATTTAAGGTCAAGGAAGGAAGAATGTTCAGTCTGTCAAACACTTTCAAACTTAGCAGCCACAGATGCTTGACGCAATTTCTTACATTACCCTCCTGCACAATCCATCAATCTCTTCTCTATTGGACTAAAACACAATTTAATACCAATAAAATCTCCATTCCGCAGCTATTTTTTCCCCTCAATTGGATCATTCAGAAAATAAACTGGTTTCCATTCACCTTATTTTTGAAACTGCTTACTCAAGTGACGTTCTTGCTCTCATTTGTATGCATAGGCGAAAGATTTGTATATATCTTGGCTTAATAATTTATGTCTGATCATCTGGGTTATTCTTCCAGAAGGCAGAACATTATCACCCCAATACCCAAACAAGAGTACAAATTCACCCATATTCCAAGGACTCCATTAGGAAATTTGCAAGGTTGAACTAAGCTAAGAATCAGTGACCAAACTTAAACCATTGACTCTCCAGATGCTGGCATTAACCGCAATGCAAAACCGTTTCAGCCTGCTAGAACCTGGTTCTGTTTACAGATGCTTAAATACTTGAATTGGTTTTAAAGAATAGACCCCTCCATTTCCCCCACCCCCACCCCTCTCACAGACAGTATACATTTCCATTTTCAACCAGATTTGTTTTACTGGGCCCTTCCAAATATGGGTGAGTTCCAGCTCTTTACATCTTCAATTTCCACTTCCCCAGATGAGCTCCTTGGCTGCAATTCCCATTCATTCCAGCCCTTTGGCAATTCTGTGGATAGTGGAACTGCCATCCACCAGATTTGGAAGGAGCCAGTCTGGGGGGGAAACTGTAAAATCGCACATTTAGATCGCCATAACCTTCTTAACAAATGTCATGCACCACCACCACCACCCACCAAAAAAAGTGCTTTCTTCCACTACTGCAACGCTTTTCTACAAGGGTGTGTGGGTGTGATTTGCAACACTTCAAGGTGCCTTCTTCTGGGTTGCTGTTACTACCTCCCAGAGGTCCTATTATCCATAAGAAGGAAAGTGGGGGTCGGGGGGTCAGAAACCCACTTGAGGAACATACCAACCCAACAGTCTCACCTGTCTCCTTTCCAGTCCGCAGGAGGTAGTCCGGGCACCTGGAAATCCTTCCCCGAGACGAAAACGTTTCAAAACGAGCCTAATTCCTAGCCTGGCAAGTTAAAAAAAAACAACAACAACTTTCCGTGTTTCCAGTAAAACACCCCAGTCCAGCTTGTGGGTGTCGTTGTGATTAAGCTCTAACTCTCCTTAAAAGCCCTCAAGGAGCTCGGCTTCTCGTGGCTTTTCGCCCTTCGAGGCTCCAGATGGATTCGGAGCGGCCGAATCCTCCCTCTTTTTCAGGAGCAACCTTCCCTACCAATCCGTTGCTCCGAAGGCAATTTCTCCTCACCCTTTCCCTTCCAATCTGCCTCGCCTCTCTCTCTCTCTCTCTCTCTCTCTCTCCCCGGGACTGTGGGAGGCGAGCTTGGAAATGAATATCAACACACAAAACAAACACGTTTCGTTCTTTTTCTTTTCTTGCTTCTGTTCTCAATCTTTCTGGGCACGTCTGTTCTTTATTTTTCCCCCTCCTCCTCCGGAAAAATATATATCTGAGATACTTTAAGTTGTTACATTTGCGTTTGTCTTCCTCCAACCCCCCCCCTTTTTTTCCTTTTGAAGGCGTTTCTTTTGAAAGAACCAGTTCCAAAAAGAAAGAAAAAATCTATCTATAGGATAATTTTGATGGAGTCCCGGCTTACAAACAAAGAAGCAAAAAACTGAAAATGTTGGGAGCTGGGAAGAATCAGGATTGAGTCAGAATAACAGAGTTGGATGGGACCTTGGAGGTCTTCTAGTCCAACCCCCTACTTAGGTCCCCAATATTTTTCTGCAAGAGTCATTGTCCTTCCCCAAGGCCACTTGTATGCACACACTTCCCTTTAACGTGCAGTGGTGGTCACACGTCACTACTCATAGCTGAAGGCCATTCAAAGTGTTTGCATTTCACAAGAATGATGTCAGCCCCAGCACTACAAATGAAAATTAAGAGTAATTTCTCTCCAGTCTGGAACAGAATATTTTATGTGCATTATTATGAATGTTATTAAAATTATCATAATGTAAAATACAAATAAATATTTTATGTGTATGTTCATCCATATGAATGTGGATACATGTGTACATTGTGGGTAGGGAAAGAGAAAATGCCCCAGAAAATCAGTCTAAATTACTTGCTAATCTGATGATGTAAGGAATACTGCTTAATGTCAGATATTGATAATCAAAGTCAAACTAATTGCTTGTATTTTTCCAAAGGCATATAATCAAAATTGCATTTGGAAAAGTATTTGTTCTTTGAAATTCTCCTTCCACCCATAGTCACACATGATAATGATTGGGTTCTTCCCCTCAGCATCTCCCTGCTAGATAATTTATTCCCCATGTTTTCTAATCCAGGTTGATAATTTCCAAGCGTGTGGATACAAATTGTTCTTCTGCACTATTTGTTGAAGAGGTCAAATGTTTTTTATATGCAAAATAATATTTAAACCATTTTGGAAAACTGTGTTTCTGACAATTCTTATCTTCACCTTCAATTTAGTCATCTTTGACCTAGATACAATGCAATCAACATTTCCAAATAGGATAATCGCATTGATGTACTTCTAGCTTACTCTGGGCAGGTGTCCAAAGAATGGTAATATCACCTGATGCTAGAAAGTCCAATTTTGGACAAGCACTACATCAATTCAACTAACAAGGGTAATTTGTATATAAATTTGATTTGCTTTCTAAATTACTGTCTTTAGGAAGGATCTAAGGAAGAAAACAACCATGAAACGTTGTTTCAGGCACTTCCTGGAATGAATATACTGTATGTGTGTACCATATTTCCTTACACACTATTCATTTTTTTGCTTGAACATATACATATGCACCAGCTTTATTTTTTCCCTTAAAGGTAGCAACAACATCTAGGCACGTGATTAGAGGATATGTTTCTGGATTTAGGTGGGAAGCAAATTTATAGCTCATAGCTTCTCTAAATCCAGTTTTCAATTCTGTCCTCTCTATTGACAGAATGTAGGGAAGAACCAGTCTAACCTAAGGCATTTTGCTACCCAAAATACTACCTATTTGAGGCAGAAAATCTTTCAAGTCCCAGTTCTCCCAGGCCTGATAATAAACGTGCAATAACAAATTTCCTGCATGTTCATATCATCCAAAACTTACTGCCTAAGATAGCCAGTTTACTCTGTCCCAGAGAAGAGCCGGTTTCAAGGCATAGAGTGGAAAAGAGATATTCCTGTCCCTATCTGAAGTCAAGGCTGGAGGTCAAAAGGCTTAGCTTGGATCCATAAAGTCCTGTTCTCCTTTTCTGCTAAATGCAGATATGAACCACAAAGCTTTCATAGGTCAAGTGACTCTGTTACTTCAGGATGCAGAAACTGGGAAGCAGCAGCTAGTGAAAGTCAGCTCAGCTTGTTTTTGCTCCTTATTATAACCATCTACTTTTAAGTGCAATGGAAGATGCTACTGTTAAGTGATGCTTCCTTCACTAGATCTGAAGAAAGAATCAACAGTCCACCTAGTTCTATCTGGTTCTTTATATATGAAGATCATAATGATCTCCCTCTGCGTCCACAGACGTATTCACACAGAGAAGGAATTTTTTTAAAAAAACCTGTGTTTCCCACTCCAAATATTTGGGAACAAAACTTTGGCCATTGGGGGTGGGATTGTTAGAAAGTTGAGATTTTAGGGACTGGTAATGTGACTAAGATCTACATTTGTTGTATTTTCTAATGGCACTGCAGGAGAATAATCCTAAAAAAAGTTAGTTGATGCTTTTGCTTATATACTGTACAAGCAGGTGATCTCAGCCCTATTTTGTTGTAGTTGTAGTAGCTATAGTTTAGAAAATGTATGCATTGAAATTTATGCACATATAAAATATATTACATTTTTTAAAAAGGTCTCACCCACACACGTGGCACACCCTCAGTGCAGTGCCAGCAAATAGAGGCATAAAGCATAAATCATGCTAATATCTCCAGTTCATCTTGAATAGCCTTGTTTATGCTTCTAAACTTTCGCAGCCAGTTAGAACATTCTGTCGACTTTCAAGAGGAAAGTACTATCCATTTCCTCTTTTTCTTTCCTTCCCCAATTAAGTCTGTCCTCCACAAATATCATTATTTCGAGAGATACGGCCAAACCCTACTGGATATATCAGTTTGTCATCAAATAATTTAAACTTTTGCAATGAATGAAAGGCAAAGATTAAACATAGATAGATATCTGATCACTTTATATTATCACACTGATTTATTTTATATTATAGATCATTCAGAATCACTAATCATAAAAATGCAACAGTAAATCATAAATCATAAATCATAAAAATAATAAATCATAAAAATAATAAATCATAAAAATGCAAACAAAAATGCAACTCAGAAAACTGCAATGAGAGAAACATCCAGATTTGCCATGCTTACTACACGTATGTCTTTCAACATCCCCGGGGGCAATGGCAAACCCTAAAAGCAAAAAGCTTATTTACCTCCTAGTTTACTGATTCTTAAAGACTGTTTCTAGGGTACTAGTCCTTCTTCTCATCATCTTCTGTTAAAAAAAATCTTAATTATATATTTATATGAATTGTTATGTTAAAATTTTAATAGAGTTAAATTTGACTAGATAGACATATGATCTGAGCTTGCCTTTCTGTTGAAACAAAGGCTGAATTAAATTTATTTGAACCAGCTTCTGTTACATTAGTATCTTTCCAGTAGTCCATGCTCACTTTTTTCATAATAGTTCAGGCACAATTTATCTAAATTAATAAACTCCAATTTTCTGGAATGTATGCTTTAACAATGCATTGACATCTTTGCATCTTAACTTCCTTCTAAAAACCCAGTTCATAATAATAATAATAATAATAATAATAATAATAATAATAATAATAAT